CGCCTTGAAAACATAACTTTACTTGGCGGAGTGATCAATTTGACGGTTGGATAAGATGTCACCCGATCACAGCTGTCACCACGAGAAGAAGAATAAGGGGATAATGTACACAAAATGTACAAAAACAGTGCTGATAAATATCTTTGCAAAACAAAACAAGAACGGCGGGGAAGAGCCACTTCCCGATATCAACAAAAATCTTCCCGACAGTAAAGAGGCGCGCCTTCTTTCCAGCTCAATACATGGCAGCACTTTTGCTTTGGACTTTCGAATTTCGAACTTGAAAATAGAAACTGACGCAAGAATCAGCAGAAGAGACCATCTTCTGATGACCAGAAAGTGTGGCTATATAGCCGAACTACACCATCGCAACCCCTGCAACGTAGAGGGGCGGGCAAAATCAGGTCTACCTTTTGGCGGAGAAACGCCCTACGAGGGGAAAAGGCGGAGTTGACAGATCCGATTGTTCGCTTCGATTCTGCTTCTGCACCGATTTGCCAGCTACCGAGAATTCCTTTTTGCCAATCTATTTAGCGAGAAAGTACCAAATACCAAACACAAACATCCACTAATTTGTTGTACTACTTTTAGAAGTCAACTTTAATCGTCACCGGTTTGAACTACCGNATTTAGCGAGAAAGTACCAAATACAAAACACAAACATCCACTAATTTGTTGTACTACTTTTAGAAGTCAACTTTAATCGTCACCGGTTTGAACTACCGGTAGCTTTTAAAGGTAAGAAAAGAAAAGAAGAGGAGGAGGAGGAGAATCACATCAACTATGTACAACAAACAAAGGAGAAGAAGATGTTAAAAAAACAAAAAAGGATCGAGTATATGTTCAGGTGAGTGAGTGAGTGTGTTTGTATTGCAAAGACAACTGTCTGAGAGGAGAGCTTCTGCTAAAGTGTTTGGTAGAGCTAGCAGTGAAGTGAATGAGTGAGTGAGTGAATTGGATCAATAAATAAATAGACAATGGACACCTAATGCTACGATTTGTGATGACGACTGTACACTAGAGCACATATTCTTTTTTTGGTGCAACAATACGTCCAGGACACATTGAGTGGGTGATCTTTGGTTGATTGCTGACGTGCAGTCCCAGCGAATGCAATGGTGATGTACAATGAGCAAAAAAAGTGAGTGAATGAGTGAGATTGCAAAAATGACAAAAAGGTGGGCTAAGTAGAAGGTGGTGATGATGATGAAGGACGGCTAGTGATGATGATGATGAGGTGGTGGTGGACTTAGTAGAGCTCCTGAAAGCTGAGCGGCAGCAGCCCACCTACAGAGTGGTCAGAGTGGTGGTGGGGGTGATGAACTCTTTGGTGAGGGTGACCAAAGCTGCCCAGAACGGATGCAGAGTGGTCCAGCAGCGAGGAGGTGGTGGTAACCGAAGACTGTGGCTGACTATGAAGAGAGGAGTTTGAAGTGGCAGTGGAGGTGTTGTTGTTGCCCAACTGACCACTACCTCCTCCACCTCCTCCACAGCTGCCACCATCGTGCATTGTGGAGGGTGACAGCGCCGAGGAGGGTGAGGGCGAGGAGAAGGGTCGGGTGGAGCCACCGGGGCTGCCGATGACGGTGGAGGGCGTCGAGGGGTGACCGAGACTGCCCAGCAGCGTCTGCCCGTTAAGCGACAGCTCCGGGCCGTCGGGCATCATTTTGAGATTGTTTCGCCTCCACTTGGCGCGGGCGTTCTGAAACCACACCTAAAAGAGTTGTGGTAGTGGTAGAGCGGAAGAGGAGCAAAAAAGAACAAAGTTGTTGTTTTGATTAATCGCAAACTAAACTCTCGTAAAGCACCAATCAGAAACTCTGACTGTGAACACAATTTCAGCTGCTCGAATGAGCTCGAANCTGTAAACACAGCTTCAGCTGCTCTAACGAGCGAGAATGTTTTGATTAGCTGTTGATTAATATTGTGCCAATGCGTGTTGCTAGCAAGGCTACCAGACATCCAGGCCAGCTAATTGAGCCTGATTTCTAACTACTCACTAATTAAACAAGGACAGAAATCAAAAAGTGCTAACTGTGGTCGTTGACACTGAACAGTGAGCAACAGCAAAGCAGTGTTGAGCAGAATAAAAAGCAATCTCCAGGCAACCCAAAACCAGCTCAGTGGACTTTGTGTTCATCATCAAGCAAACAAACAACTAACCTGCAGAACTCTCTTGGAGAGGCCGGTCTTCTGCGCCAGCTGCTTGAGATCCTTTGCATCAGGGTTCTGATTGACGGAGAAGTACGTCTTCATCGTCCTTAGCTGGTGGTGCTTGAAGGAGGTGCGCATCCGCTTCGTCCGCTGACTGGAGTGACTTAGGCCGCCCAGGCCGCCGCTGCTCGAACCGGACAGACAGGAGTTCTCGATGCTGGCCGCCAGACCGGATAAGGGGCCGCCGTCAAGAGATCCTGAAGAAAAAGAAGAAAGGTTTGGGTTCGAAGTTTTAGAAAACTTGACCATCACTTACCTCCAGGACTATGCGATGACCTGGCACCGGTGGGTGAAAGTGAATCATGCGTACATGAAGAATTATTACCGCCACCACTGCTGTTCAGCAGCGTCATCGAATCGTTCGCCTGCTGCGCCTCACTGCTGGCGCCCATTGTGTTCTTCCGCTTCCTAGGCCGCCCCTTTCGAATACTGTGCGGCGTCGTCGGCGACTGGCCATTGGGCGCTGAGCCGGGCGCTGAAGAGGAGGGCGGACCGGCGTTTCCACCACCACCACCACCACCACTTCCATGAATACTGAGAGGTGAGTAGAGGGAGGAGGAGGAGGTGGCGTAGGGCGTGGCGGCCAGGCTGCTGCTGCAACCGTCCGGTGGAAGATCGAGTGGGTGGTGAAGGAGAGAGGGATGATGGAGGGGGTGGTGGTGGGGATGCAAGGGGTGATGGTGGGGCAGATGAGGGTGCTGGTGGTGAGGGAGATGAAGGTGGTGATGAGGAGGACCTAGCAGAGGTGGTGAGCTAGGTCCATTCGGGTGCTGAAGGAGGTGGTGGTTGGGGTGATGGTGCAAGAGTGCCGCTCCGGCGGCTTCTGCCACCCCTGCAGGGCCTGAGGGGACGCCATTGGGTGAACTACTACCTCCTTCTCTTCCTTCTCTGGCACAACTTCCGCCAGCACCACCAGCACCTCCAGCAGCACTGCCACCTCCAGGACCTCCTCCACTGCTGCTACTACTGCTACTGCAGAGCATCTCATAGTGCGTCCGACAGTAGACGAGGCTGTCGCGAACGCCAAAGAGGTCGCCCTGGGCGAGGGGCGTGGCACACCAGGCGCAGGTAAAGCACTGGACGTGGTAGACGTTCTGGTCGCGGACGCGCATCACCAGCTCAGAGGCGTAGATGCCCTCGCCGCAGCGGCTGCACCGACGCATGCTGAACAGTCTGAGGAGTCAGGAGGAGAAAGAAAGAAATGAAATGAGAAAACGTTGGAATGTTTTTTGCCAAAGAGAGGAAAAAGGAAAGAAAGGAAACCGATTTTGCCGATTACAGTGAACGAGCAAGAAGGCTGAAGAAGGAAACAACAAAAACAACAGCCGTAGTTTTTTTTGCGGCACACTGGCAAGCAACATCGCTGAACACATGCTGCTGCTTTTCGAGCGGTCA